AGACACATTTTAACAAACGAAAACCCTACTAAAGCAAGAAAATCTTGGTATGTGAAAACACCAATCTTCGATAAAGTAGACGCTGTCTCTTATACACATCTAGATGTGTCTAAGAGACAGGTCAAAAGACGTGAAACGTAAATGATGACGCTCGCTAACTTTCTCATTTTTACCGTTTAAACTTATGCAGGTCCTATACAGAATTGTCCACAAGTTGTTTTATTGTTTAAATTGTTAAATCTCTTTCGCACTTATAAACGCCGTATCAAGAAATATTTTCAATACAGTATAAGCTTCAATAAAATAAAAGAAATCAAAATATCTCTATATACAATTATTATAAACTTATTGTAATAATAATATTTATTAATTACTATTAATTAATATTAATAATAAATAGTAATAATAATATTAATAATAATTTTATTATTATTATTGATTATTCATATCGTACAATTACATTCCTCAATAATCATATTAGGAATACTTTCGACAACTATTTCAGTTACACCATCTCTGTTCACGAGGTACATCATCGGTAGAGGGGATGTCTTTGACGCTTTACACGACACCGTCCTGGGCCTCTGGAGGAGATCTAGAAGATCCCGCCCAGTACGCACATGACCCCTATTGGTACAAGGCCCGACACATTCGTAGGCATCGTATCCCTGTGGCTCGATTATCCAACGATCAGACCATTCTGTACCTCGAAAGTTGATGAATTTCGGTCGGCGGCAACAGGTGGTCGCCTCTGAACCGTCGGCGCAATCTGAAGACTCTTCTTCATTCCTGCAGAAAAAGATTTGTTTACAAATTAACAAAAAAAAAAAAAGTTCATCATTGCAATCCTTATGTGCGAAAATAATTCTGTTACTTTTACTTATAAGAATAAACAGATTTGCAACCAGGGGTTTATGGTTCGGCTAAGCCTTTCAAGCGATAAACCAAGTAACCCCCAGCTCATGAGAGTCGGATTTTTTTTTTCTTTCTATGTACAGTACAGCATATTGACGCGTGATTATTTTAATGCACTGGAACAGGGACATTTTATCCGGGGACATTTTTTCCAATTTACCACAACTTTAAAAATCGTGTTCTTTTAACTTCACGCTTTTAATCTGATCTAAGACAAGCTCTCATGAACTTTCTCGAAAACCTATTTCAATATCAGCCTTATGAAAGCGTTACATTTGATTTCACATTTCTCCGAGAGTCCTCTTACGTTAAAATAATAGCAATGAAACTGGGATTTAAGAGCGAATCACTGGCCGTCGTTTATATTCATTATAGCATAGTTTATATTGAAGGTTTCAGTCATGCATAACTACAACTAAATAAAACTCTTACTTTGGAGCTCTCTTGATTGTGTACACGACGAGAATTGGAAAACCCATGACAGTGTCCGAAGAATCCTGGGGACCAAATCGGGTTTTCTCAGCAACACGTCGGGCGTGTTCGGTAGGATTTGTCGGTGAAATTTCTAATTGCAGACCATAGTTTACATCTGGGTTATTCACCCAGTACTGAACTGTCTTTGTAACATCGAAGATCTTCCAGCCATCGGTAGCCAACGGTAGAACACTTTTGAAGATAAAATCGTAATTAACAATTATAACTATTTATAATTTATATAATGAATATACACGACGACCAATTGTCATCAAAATAATGCTGTTGGACATGACAGCACCAAATTATATCTGTTTATATTCAAGTCATAGCATTATGTCGAAACAGATTAGTATGCTCACAGGCATTGTTATTTTATCATTGTTAATTTATTATTACATTTTTATGATATCTGTGACAAAATTTAGGGAAAATATTAATTTAACATTGAAGTGCTCTTCTTTAACATAATAATAAAAATATTAATTAAATAATAATAATGATAATAATAATAATAATAATAATAATAATAATAATAATAATACTTAATGCTTCAACATGGAAGGACCTCTATATGAGAAAATATTTTTTTATATTAAGATGATGATGATGAGGCTATGACGACAAACAACGATGATAATGACGTCGATTGATTATGATGATGATGATGATGACGACGGTGATGACGACGATGATAAGTAAATAGTAATAGACTCACCGAGAACTAACTGTAACAACATCAGTATCTGTAAGATTACTGAGATTGTTCTCATATAGGACTTGTTGGACATTGACAATTGATTCAAACACGTTATGATGTGCACTCGCATTTACATTTAACATTCGATGACGCGATTCGTTCGGCCGCTCCTTGTAAATCTTGAATTCTGCCAACATCACCTCACTACCCACGGGAATTCGAGCGGCAACATCGAAGGTAAATGCCATTTTATCGGACGATATGTATTCAGTATGGCCTACAATGTCTGTAAAAATAATGAACAAAGTAACACAACCGTTATTTAATAGGCTAAATATAGTTTTTTTTTTTTTTAAATCAATAACAGCAGAGAAACAGTGATATTTTAATTATTTTGTCTCCCTTTATAAATGTAGTTCATATAACATTTATCAAAAACATGTAATGTCAAATTGTGCATACATTAAGTGGTGAATAAAATTGATAATGTACTTAATTGACGATTTTTTTTATCATTCTTATTTTTCTGTCATGTTATGAGCTAAAAAATAAAAAAAAAATCAATTTCATATTTGAACTGTTAATTCGTATATTTATGTAAGTTATTGACTTACAATTAAAAATTGTGAAAGCTAAAAAATGTCTTATTAATTAAAGGACAATTGCCTTTGCATAAAACCTTAAATTGGCTAGTAATCAATTAAGGAATTTTGTAGACAAATGTTTGTAAATCGGCGAAAACTATTTTTCCTCTGTTTTTGTGGTTGATCGTTTATAATGAGCTATTAAATATTTAATTTTTAAGGTATTTTCCGATTATTTGGCAGTGTATCTTTAAATAATCAATTAAAAATTCAGATATATTTACAGTAATCTTCTTAGTTTAAAGAAACGATTGAATGACATACCTGGATTTTTATGAATGGTTTTCGCAATCATATATTTCGAATAAGGAACCGATCTCTTTCTTCTTTTCATATCTTCGATTGCTTTCAAATTGTCGTAGCTTTTCCGTAACTGGATTGGTACCACGACATCATCGACAGAGAACGTATTGTGATTTTCTCCTAACGTTGTATCAGTTCCCGACGGTGTAAAAGGCAACGCTTCGATGACGTATATAAAGTGTATAACTACATATATGAGGGTTGGTAGCTGGATGTTCATGGAGGTCGAGGCAGTTCTACACATAATTCGAGAGCGTTTTTCTTGCGACCTAAATTTGTTGGAAGAGTTTTGACAAATGATGACGACCCAGTCTATCAATACCCTTATATAATAGCGATTGGCAGATCGCTGGTAGGCCTAATTTTGTCTGGTCTGACACCTAGCTTAATTTATTGTGACCTGATAATGAACCGCTATAGCACGTCCTTACTGCTAACACACTATTATTCTATGTATACAGGACGATTACTATTCAATTAGGGTGTCTGAACACAAACAAAGCCGTAGGCTGGGTTTTTATCAGTAATTTAAGGTGTACGGAACGATATAATTGCTTAGTACCAGTATTTAACACTGATCGGAGGCATATTTTGATAATCAAGGGTATTAGGATAAATGTCTGTGGAAAAGAAATGGACATCTTAATTTGACCAGGGAGGAGGACCGGATTTGGCCAACGGCCAAGATCAAAATCATGTTGAATGTCAAGCGGCGGGATAAGACAGAATTTTGAAACGCTATCATAGTGCTTGTTATAGGAACGGAGATAAATTTTATATTCCTCCATGAGTTTTTTTCATAAGATAACATTTTTAGACGTATTCTTCCAATTTCATAAAGCCCAACCGCCGACCCAAAATCTAAAATTATTATTTGCAAAAAAAAAAAAAAATTGACATAGCACATTTTAAGCTTTAATTAATTAATTTGTTACCTTAACCACAGAGTTTAGCCGGCCGGAATAGTAGCCTAAGTAACATTTACATGGGGTGTTATAATCACGGAGAACATGGTATAGTTAATCGAGTCCTTAGTAGGCCTGGGCTTAAACAATCTAGACACGCCCAACACCGAATTTCATTATTGTTTCTTGCTTTAGTAATATTGTTTGGCCGCATGTTATCCCTTTGCATTATATCGTGTTAAAATCTTGAAAACCTTAAACATTAATTAAAAATTGAATCATTACGATCAAAGCAGTTGCCATCATCTTCAGTAAATAATAATAGATCAAAACAATGGGTGTTCGCTGCAGATTTACAGACTTTACGAAATGACCCTTAAATTGAACACAGCCAATTTAAGGGTCTGGCCGCAAATACATAGAAACGGCAATCTTAATGCACGGCGCACGTCTGTCAATTTGTAGAGAAAAATACTTGTTTCTAATTTTGATTCGAAAGCACTTTACTTATAGACCTAGAAGCACTTAGAGATGTTGAATATTATTTTTCAAAATTTTCAAGGAGGCATATATCGCTTTTTTTTTTTCAAATAATATTTTCTTAAAATAACAGTGTAAGCATGGGCGCAGGTCATTTCTGGAAATCCAGAAGTGCCATAATCATATTGCTTTGCGACTCCCAGTACAGAATAGACTACCGGAGGTCCTTGATTAGACCTTTGCGACGCCCGTGGGGGGAGGTGTGCCCGAGGGAAGTTGAGCACAGCTCTCGTCGGGAAGAAGTCAATAAATTTGTCGAGGAACGATGTTTTGAAAAAGCAATTTTGCCATCTAAGCGTGTGGGCTACCTGTTGCACCCCACCCCCTCTCGGAAAATGTCTTACCCCCTCCCCCTTTATTTATTATTCTTTCAACGATTTAACGAAAAGAAGGTGATGGTGGGATGTTGCTCAGCCTGTCTACGCCATTATTTGGTTTTTTTTTCATACTATTTCATAGTTTCATATCTGTATAATTTCAATATCAAATGTTACATACGCTCAGGGACACCATATTAAATAAATTGAGAGCCTGTTTTATTTTGTAAATTATTTCCTAACAGTGTGGCAATACTGGGACAATAAAATTATTTGTATTGAATTGAATTTGGCATATTCTGGTCTAATTGCATGGAATCAAGGACTAACACATATAATCATTCTCATAATAGCACGATCTTCATTAATATAAAGCCACTGTTCGTGCAGTCCAGGCCCCCTATTGGGAGAGAATAAACGGAAAAAATATGCTATTGGATTTCTCCAAGAAGTTTAGAACTAACAAATTGAAAAATCCTATTCCATAATTGAATTGCAGAATATGTCTTTAAAGTACTGTTAAGTTCACGTACAGTTCAATTAATAAGTTGAATGGAAAACATTTTCCCTAAATAGTCAATTAACAGACATTTAAATAATACCTTTCATGTATTCTTAGAACCTTAAAGTGCAGTCATTCGTAAATAATTAATAAATAATAAATCAAGGGTTATTTTGACCGTAGCAGTCCACGACGCAATCGGGAAGGCTCCCCGATTCGACCGACCAATCAACATAATTGAAATCTGTCGACAAATTTTTTTTTGCGAACGTTGGATGGGCTTTTTTTTATCAGAGGGGCTCTTTTCGAGATGGCCTTCTTTTCAAGTCCACTTTTGCAAAGTAAAGCGGAGGGCCGCTTTTCAAAATGAATGCTGTGAATTTTGGGGATTAATACTATAACAATAAATAGGGCCACTGTAACATCAATCTGTCATGGAGTGTATTTAACCGGCACTAAATCACCTAAACTATTGTACAAACCACGCGTGTTTTTATTTTTTTTGTTTCCATATAATTGATGTACAGTGTATCGGTAAGTACTGTACTGTTTCGAAAAAAAAAAAGCCAATATCTTGAAAAGAAATCCAAGGGCTTCTTTTCGAGGCTACTTCTGCAAACGAAAGAGGAGGGCTTCAATTCGAGATTGGTTTCTTCTTTACATTAAGCACATTGGGCTTCTATTCGAGATTTTATGGTACCGTTTTTATCAGATACGCGCAGTTGAATAGACCTTTCCGGAGTGTCAATCAAACTTAACAACTGACTAATCAGAACAGCGCTAGGAATACGCGCGCGTCTCACAAACACACGTGTTGTCCCACAAACGCACGTGCTCGCTGTTTTAACACTGTCGCCTTGTGGGACCTTAGCAACAATATCCAAGGGGCGGGGCTTAGCGGAAAGGTCCATAGTCACCCTTTCCAGCAGAGGCTCAAATCGAATAAATGCCTCCCTCGAATAAACGCTCCGGAACGTTTATTTTTCCTTGAATAAACGTCCACCCTAAATGACTGTAAAACAATGGAAGCAGCATCATTCTCAACATTGCTATTAGTGTTCTACTCTAGTAGAATTACAATTTTTTCAAACCTGGTTGAGATCACATTTGCATTAGAAATTAAGTGGCATTTATTTCAGTATACTGTATACACATCCATTTTGCACCAAAAACAAAATAAACGTTTCTCTCGAATAAACACCCCATAAACAACAAACGGCGCTTATTCGAATAAATATAGTATATAAAAAATATATGGAATGGACAACAAAACACCAATATTAATTAACACATAACAGCAGACACCAGAAACATCTTGAAGCATATTTTAATAAAACTAAGTGATGATCATGATCATAATTACTTGAATTCAATAGCATGACATGCAATATCATCATAATAACCTAGTTTCAATAAGAAATCATGAATGAATACTATATGCTGCAAAATCCATATCTCAAATATTAATTATGAAATTATTACAATTACTAACTATTAGTATTACAAAGATGTTTCTAGCTCAATTAATGTTATGATTATTTCTTTACTTTTAAAATGTTCATTTAACTTGTTTAAAATATCACTTCTTGCTTTTTAAAAACACAGCATTTTAGATGATAATTATGTCGGGAAAATATCATCATCATCACCATCAAAAAGGTTTAATTGATCGTGGCTCAACTCGGTCGTTGGAGATGACATTATGGTTCGATTTTGTCTTGATTTTGAGGCCAATTTAGAATTTAGGTCCGTCAAATGCTCAACGGGAGTACTGGGAACCAACTGGTCTGTAAATAGAACATTAAATATCAGTTTATGATGATAATAATAATAATAATAATAATAATAATAATAATAATAATAATAATAATAATAATAATATCTCTAAATTGGGCTTAAGGGGAATATCTTTTGTGTTATTTTTCCCCTTAACGTTATGTTATTTTCCCGTTAACTTCGTTTTTTTTTTAATTGTTCTCTAATTTCTCCATTGTCTATGTTCCCCTTAAGGTAGGTTTTAGTAACATAATAATAATAATAATAATAATAATAATAATAATAATAATAATAATAACAATAATGCTCAAATATTAAGCCCTGTCCAGACTATCAAATTTTGTTTGGCAATAACATGTGACATGTCTAAATATGGTCATGATGACATCACATCATGACCATATATAGGCAAATCATGATTGTATCAACTTAAACTTTTCACAACGTACAAAGAAATATAATATATTTTAACAAACAAGACAGATATTGGGTGAAACCAGGTAATGAGGCCAACAGAAAGTAGATACCCAAATTTCACTTTAAGTTGGCATCAGAACTACTGTATTATGTTTCAGCTACATAGAAACTATCAAATTTTATTTGACAAAATGTGTGTGGTGTGCCTGTACATGGGCATTATGGTATACACCCAAATATGGACATAATATGGCTTAAGTTCTCAATGCTAATTTTCCTGTTTAAATGTTTAACTTTTTTTCCTTCTTAATGTTTTCTGGTTTTTTTTGTCCGTTTTACACCAATTTTCTATGTTTTAACTGACCGTTTTAAATATTCATCCCTTTGTTTCTCGCAAGGACTACATCGGAAATAAATTAACTTGTGTTGATTTAATGGGTCGTCCTTGCATTCATTTGTATATCTTTTTAGGTACCGTAATTAATTATTTTACATTTCAATTTTAATAATACTGTTTTTATCGTGTATTTTTGATGTTGAAATTTTAATGAATTGAATGGAGGCTAAATAAATAAATAAATAAATATCACATTTATTTGTCATGCATTGAATGCATGCTAAATAAATAAATAATAAATATCACATTTATTTGTCACAAAAATATTGTGGACAGAGATTTATTGCATTTTATGGGAGTCCCAATTTGTTTTACTACATCAAACGTGCATTGAATTATTGCATACCAGGTGGAGTCGAAGCTAGCAGTGGAGTCATTTGTTGCTGAGAACCACCAGATGTCCTAGCTGTAAATCTTGGTGTTTTAGGTACATTCTGGTCAAACGAACACTCTTAAGATGAATAAATATCACAATGAATACACAAGTATTTCATTTTTTTTTTGTATTAAAGTGTTAATTTACTATGACATTGGACCTATGATAGGCCTACTGTACTACAGGAATGCGAGATATGTAACATGGAAACGTGCATGAAAAGCGCCACACCAGCATTTCTTATTATGAGCTCAGTAGCCACATGTACCTTTTAGGTATCTATTTTTCTATCAGTGGGTATGAGAAATGCTTCTGCAACTATGATAATGCAACTATGATATTTCGCTTTATAGCAATGTACTGAATACTTATGAAATATCTCGTACGATGTTTATCACTAGATGACCAATCTGGTACAGTTGCTGCTGGCGACCATGTTGACCTTGGTGTCATAGCTGGTGAAAATGGAACTGACTGCAATGGCGATTGGTTAGATTGATTCAAAATTGTATGTCTCCTCAAGTCAGCCATTTGTTATGCTTTAAAATTAAACAGAAATTATCAAACATGACTTACCTTATATACATACAAAGTTACTTAATTTTATGATTATTTTTTTTTATTTCATAGATTTAGAGAGCATTGGGAAATTCAGCAGAAATGTAGGTGCTCTGTATCCCATATATACAAAGGGCGAGCGAGTACCTCTCAAGAGACACAAACGATCATACCACAGTTGTGTCCCTAAAACCCAATGCCACGTAGCCAGCTATTGGGACAGTTGGGACAGTTCCATACAATTATCCTAATGGGTCCACAAAGAATGGGTTCACATTTTAAAAAATGGGTCCAAATTATGCAATTGTATTATGCAATTTATGCATAAAATGAGCCCACTTTTTGAAAAATGGATCAAGATTTCTTATATTTAGCCTAAAATGGGTTTTCATATTTTTGCGTAAAATTGGTTAACTTTTAAGAAAATGGGTCCACATTGTTTGAATTTACGTGTAAAGTGGGACCACCCGGATATTGTCTCGCACAGTCTGAAAATCCTGGCTACGGCATTGCTAACACCAACATAGCAGAGTGAAAAATGCAAAAGCCAGAATGGACAGCATTAGGAATGTGGAAATCAATCTCTACTGTAGGCTAGAGGAATGACTCCTCATCCAAAATAGAGCAGTCATCTAGAAAGAATGGATAAGAGAATATCAGATACTAGAGATGTTAGAACTGAAGACCAAGTGAAGTGGAAAAAGACCCTGGGATGGGGTGTCTACAAACAGGTGGCACCAGCGGAGGGAGACTTGGCCCCTTCATTGGGGAAAAAACGACAATTCGTCGGGGAGAAAAAATGTATAGGCGTACTATACTAGGCCTACCTATCCTAGCCTAGGCATGTATTTATAGACTCCAATTTCCAAAATCGATTAAATAAACCTTAGAATATTTTCCGGGGGCTTCGCCCTTTAGAACACTTTCGAGAGATTTTGAGCGACGCCCGATCACGCCTACTAGACCTACTAGCTAGGCCTGCCTCTCTGTATTGTAGCAGGCGCAGGAGGTAGGCCTAGGACGAGGTCACGGTGTACCGCCTGACTGGGTGAGTAATGAGCCCAAAACAAAAATGTTTACCGTATTTGAACTGACCTTCGTATTCAATCAAAAATTCTATTGCGAAGTTGGTGCAAACATGAATTTTGATCATCCAGACGTGTTCCTCGGATTAGGACTCCCTAGCTAGTCCTATCAGCAGGCTTGGACGGCTCTTTTCTGCTCTTTGGCTGGGGTAAAACTATCTTTGCTGGGGGAGGGGGAACATACGTCAAGTACAAAGTAAAAAGTTTGGAAAATTTTAACCGATGGTGGCGCTATTTTTATAAATTGCACATATCACATGCAGACGATTTGCATTCTCGATCTCTCTCTCTTCTCACCGTATTCAGTTTCTGAGTGTTCCAAAAAGTTTTCAAGGTGGGTAATAAAATAATTATAATATGATTTATTAAATAAACAAATTTTATTATATAAACAGAATGATTTAACATATATTATATTATATTTTAAGATTTTCCTTATGTCAGAATTTTTAAAAGAAGTATATTCTATGATGTATTGTTTTGCGGCTTGTTTATGTTGCACACCAATTTAGTAAATAGATTGTGCCAATATCCAATATTTCACCCATTTTGTAGCCCCTCTAGAACAAAAATGGAGCGGTAAATGTGAATGGATCAGCTGTAACAGTTATAAAAGATATTGAATAAGCTAGGCCTACTGTTCAGCCTAGCCAAGGAAGGTATAAAAGCCTGTGAAGTTAATGATTGAATATGAATAATAAATTGTTGATTAGGCCAGGCCAAGGAAGGCCCTAGGCTAGGCCTAGTTTTCCTAGGCTTAGGCCTAGGCTTTGCTAGGCTTCTACTAGGCTTTGCTACGCCTACTGTAGAGAGCCTATGCCTGGCTAGGGCAGGGGCGGCCTAGGTACTTGGCCTAGCCTAGATAGTTAGGCCTAGGCTAGTCCTAGGTTAGCTAGGCACACGTGTTACTGTACGCCTGGGGTTATTGATTGTAGGCCTAGGCAATATATAAGTTTTGCTGATGATTGACCAATCAAATAATGTCAATGTATCCTCCTAACCTTTAAATGATATTTTATTTGGTATATATAGTAGGCCTATTGCGCTAGGCCTAGGGGCCTAGGCCTATAAAGAATGACATAATTTAATATTATTTTATTTTATATTTTATGAATATGAGGCCTAGCCTAGGTATAAAGCCCTAGCCAGGCACTAGGTGTAGGCCTAGGCCAACTGTGTAGGGCTTTCTAGTCAGAAAACCAAAACGGCAATAAGTTAAAACAGCAAAAAACCAAAACGGCAACACTTTTTGACCAGATTGGCAATGGACCACCAAAACGGCAGTAATTCAAAACGGCAATAAACCAAATAAATAAATAAAACTTTAAAATACACACAAAATGAGGCTACAGCAATTTATGTCATAGAAATGAAAATGCAAAAAACAATAATAATAATAATTGGCCTACTAACAACATACAAATTCAATAATTTAAAGATTAGGGAAACACAATATAAAAGCAGTAAACATTCAAATAAATAAAACTTTAATATATAGACAAAATGAAGCTAAAACAATCTATGTTATAGAAGTAATAAATGCAAAAAAACATTGATAATAATAATAAAAATAATAACAGGCCTAATAACAATATAACAACATACAAATTCAATAATAAAATGGTTTGGAGAAACACATAATATAAAAGCAGTAAACATTCAAGTAAATAAAACTTCAAAATACAGTACGGACAAAATGAGGCTAAAACAATTTGTCATAAAAGTAAAAAATGCAAAAAAAAAACCAATAATAATAATGATGTTAATGATAATACTGTAATAATAATAATAATATTATAATAGGCCTAACAATATAACAACATACAAATTCAATAATAAGTGGATTAGCGGAAACACAATATAAAAGCAGTAAACATCCAAATAAATAAAACTTTAAAATGGCAAAATGAGACAATTTTTTAAATCATTCTGTTTATAAACAATTCGTCTCGTGCGTGACGGCGCTTGGTGTTGATTTTGCTCCTTTGTATACAGTTAAACTTGCCTAAGTCGACTGTGCCTAAGTCAAATAATTTCTAAGTTGAACTTATTTTACATGCCAAATTGTTGTGATTTCCATTAATTAACAATGTCTAAGTCAAATTTTATCTAATTCGAGCAATATTTCAATGGCATTTTGGATTCAACTTAGGCAAGTTCAACTGTATTGTCATTTTGGTATTTGTCATTGCCATTTTGGTCTGTTGCTGTTTTGGTTCATTGCCATTTTGGTTATTGTTGTTTTAGTCATTGCCGTTTTGGTTTATTGCTTTTTTGACCTGCTACCACTGTAGGCCCTAGGCTAGGGCCTAGCTCTTCAGCATGATTGGCCTAGCCAAGCCTAGTATATACTCCAGTCCCTAGTATACTACTCGCACTCTAAATTTTATTGGCTGTGGATATTGTTTCGACAATGCTACGTAAGCCATGAGGTGTTGATTGGTGGACCTGGAATGACCCTAAGCTTAACTTCAGGTCATGTTATCTTACTGCTCTACCATTGAGAACTGACTAAAAATTAAATGGAAAAATGCTATAATAAACTTAATGGAGTGCAAATTTGGAAAACATGTGAACTTAACGATTTAGTCTCTAGAGCTTGGTAGAGACTTTAAATTTAGGGCCCCAAAATTTAAAGTCTTGGGGGTCTTTGCAAAATAAGGAACTGCATATATTCCTGTTACAGTAATCGATGAATATATTTTCTTGTTTTCAATTAAAAGCTAAATAATTTAGCTTACAGGTATAGGACCACAACAAACTAAGCATTTTAATATTGAACGTTATTTTTTATTTTCGCAGCAGCTACCTGTATTTTTAAAAAACATTTACCCGTCATTACTGCACAGACATTTCCATCTAGAAACTTTTTTTTTCCCCAATTTTCATTTTGTGAATGAGCATTCATGTGCAAATGTGCATGACAGAGTGTTCAATGCACGACAGTGTTATTTATAAATTAATGCATTAGTGATCGAAGCCACAGTTGCTTAAGGTGATAGGTTTTTTTCCATTACTTGACATAGGCCTACAGATTAGCAGAGACTGGATAAAACTAAAGTTTTTACATGGCTGATTATCATGAGATTGATGCAAAGACTTATAACTAGACACCTTCTGCCTATAGTCAGTCAATAGAACAAATTGATTCCTCCAGTATAAGACTCTATATTTTAATCCATGTAGAATTTTGTTTGCTATCCATGTTGATTATGTTCCTATTATTATTAAATGTAAACAGAAAGTTTCCCAAATGATGGATTCTATGTCAAGTGAGAAAAGTCTGTTTGTTAAAACCTACTCTCGGAAATGCCCAGTTAGAGTTTGGAGAGATGAGAAAATTGTTACCACAGTATTACAAACAAAGACCCCTGCACCTGGTAAGATTTTACACTGTTTTTTTTTTTATTCCACATATTTTTTGTTTTATTATTAGTATACACCATGCTATAGGTTCATATTGGTCTAACAGGGTCATTGGGTTTTGTCAACTAAGTTTTTTAATAGATCTTCCTAGTTATTTAACATGGTAAAACTACCAAGTTTGACCACTGCATTTTTTTCAAAGGGATATATCTCCCCAATTTCACAGAGAGAATGTTCAAACTTCATTACTTTTAATCTAAATTGATAGTGCGAATATAACTTAGATTTATTTACATTTATTTTATTTATTTATATATTATTTATTTATTTAGCTATTATTTATTTATTTATTTATATTTATATACTTTTTTCTATAAATTATATTTATGGATATTCTTAAAAGTTTGTGTGTATTTATTTATTTAGTTATTATTTATTATATATTTTTTCCTAGATATTTATGGATATTCTTAAATGTTTTTGTATGTGTTTGTCTCAGCTTGATCAGTTTTTTTGCATGTTTGTTTTTGTCATTTTCTACCTATTGTTTTTATCTAATAATTGAATCAAACATTTTCAGATGCGTTTTATATTTTTGATAGAGGGCCCTGAACATCAGCTGGCCTTCCTGGTCCAGTTGGAAGGGTCACCCTCTATAAATAAAGTTTGAATAAAGAATTAAATAAAAACTTTGGACAAAAACAAATGTTATATTGACTTGCTCTAATTTATGCTATTGTTGTTGTTATTCTCTCACTGGTTGCTTAAGTTTTTAGGATGGTTAATAAGTGCACAATTTTATATCAAGTGCATTATTACATTCATTGCTATGTGCTTTAATTATATGGATACATAATCTGTTGTACCAATTAAAGTTGAGCGCACACTGCATTGCACAGTACAGAATTCCAGCACACAGACAGATATGCTATGAAAAAATATCTTAAATGATGTAAATTAATTTTCAACAGGTATAAGGCCTTATTTAAAAAGACACCGAATATACCCTGAAGCATGGCCCAAGCCACTGTCAAATGATGAGCGATTTATTTCACTCTCTCAAAGGTATTTATAAGATATCGTCACTGTTTTCACGAAGAGACACTACTTCAATTTAGACAACAACATCGTTATGAGAAAAACATGTTTGAAGTGGACTACTTCACAAATCTGTAAATTTCAATATACAGTATCAAAATAAAAATTAAAAAAAAAAAAAATCTTATTTTCCTGCCATAGTATTTAGGGTATACTGTATGCAAAGACATTAAATATACCTTTGGAAACTGAAAGTTAATTGGTTAGGAGATATTTTACTTGTTCTAATTTTCAGTTGAAAGATAATATCGTATTGAAAGGCAAAAAAGTAATCCATTCATGTTTCTTTTTTTTTAATTATAAAGTTTTAGGTGGCAGTATTCCTTGAAAAATGTCCTAGTACATACCATTTCAATAAATAAGTGTAATTGGCTGTATGATAAATGATGGGATTTTATCCCACTCTACTTAGCTATAAATAGGAGAGTTTAATATGTAAATCCCATGTGTGTATAAAAACTAGGATACTATAGAGCATATGTCAAAAATGATATTTGATCCTGATTAGAACAGCAATTACAGATTACATGTGTTTGATTATGTATCTTCTGTAGGAAATCAAGTGTTCGCCTCTTAAAGAATATTAGTAACGTAAAGGATATAGAGGCACTTAGAGTAGCAGGCAAGAGGCTTGGATCGCCCTTTCACAAAAACAGAAAAGGTAGCTAGTACAGCATCTTTTTTTTTTTTTAAATAAGTATTCAATATTAAGCATTAATTTTGTTGTTATATTACATATCATAGTTAATAATATTTTGATACCATATGCTATGTATCTGAGTAATAATCTTGAGTTTAGACATGAAGGGAGATATATATGTTGTGCACACTGACAAATAAATATAGCTTGTATCTTGTATATGTTTTTCAATACATGGCATGTTAACATGACTAGGATAGTGCAGTTGGTACTATCAATTTAAATATTCTTAATGGTGGATCAAATTAGAAAATATCTTTAATAAGCAGCATGGTGCTTGTTAGAGAGGGACACTTAGTGGAAAAACAATCAATCATTTTGTGTGGAGCCTTTATGAGATTAGTGCTTGTGATTGATTGATTGATTAAATTTATTCAATGCTCAACATACACTTACAAAATGAAAAATGATTTGTGATTGTGAATGAAAAAATAAAAGGAATGAACCAGGAAGGTCCATTAGCCTGGAGCCCTGCCCATTTCCAATAATAGGGTCCAAATTAAATTACTGTATAATTAATAAAGTTTCATTTCTATCTGAAAACATATTTTGAATAACTAAAGTTGTTGTTACTTATTATTTTTTCATTTTTATTATTTTTATTGTAATTATAATGATTGTCTAGCTCTCACAAGTACAGTTCTTTACACATACTGAATTTTAATGCATTTAAAATTGACAAAATTGCAGGTTCTCCTGTGTCTATCTCCAGAGGCTTTCTAGAATTAATTGAAGAATCAGAGTCAAAAGATTTGACAGACTGTAAATTGGGAGATGCATCATCGCATTCAGAAAATGTGAGGTAAAATTCTACAACAGTTTGTATTCAGGAAAAATTATAAGAATACCACTCTGTTAAAGCAGCTTATCGTCACCTATTTTTGGGTAATCATCATCTATATTTGACGTGAACCCAAGTTGAAGATGGGATGTACAGTACTAGTTACTTAAGCTTTAAAGTTTTCATGAAAAAAGCTAATAGATTCAGTAATCAGCTGCCTTACAATCTTTTATTTATTTTTTTAAAATGTTATTACGCACATGGGCCAGGTATTGCAAAAAGCAAATTTAATCACTGTCAAAGTAGCAATCCCTTTTGTAACACAAACATACACATAATGCTACGTAAACCATGTCTCCATGTGGAGTTTTTGGTATTTTTTCAAGAATTACTCCTAGGGCCCTGTGTTTGGAAAGCAAGCCAACAACATATGTCTCTACTCTCAATACAAACTATTATATTAGAGAGCACCTTAGCTCAGAGAGCGCCTTAGCTCAGTTGGCTAAATGGGTGGTAGCTACTGTGTGTGCGATGAACCGTGGAGGTCCCTTGATCCCCAGTTCAATTCCTATCGGAGCTCTCCTTGTATTTCAACTGGAGGACTGAAATACAAGTTACAATAGCGCACCATCTTTCGGATCAGACATTTAAGCTGTAGGTCCTGTGTACATTATGGCCCATGTGTACGTTAAAGAACACATTACACTCTACAGAAAAAAAAGTAGGGGAAACTGCCGTTGTACTGCCAAATTTCACCACCAGAAGGACCCCACTTGAAATAAGTCTTTGGACTTGTTAGGTTATCCTTGGTGTGATTCACACCAAAAATACTCCTATCCTATCCTATCCTAATCTCTAGTTGTTTTTTTCTATCATATGTTCTTCTGTTATCAGTGCTATGTATTTGGTAATTGGTTTCTTAGATAGAAATAATTTGTTATTGTGAAGGTGAGCTATCATTGTAGGAGCAATTTGAATATTTCTTTTAGTGACCTAATTGTACATTGATCTATAAGATATTCATGTTTTATATTGTTTATTGTTTGGGCTTTTAGGAGAAATTGGCTGGACTGTAAGGAATTTACATTAAGTTACGTTTTAAAAATTCATAAATTATAACATATTTTTTTTTTACTCAGCAAGCAATTAAAAAATATTAATTTAATTACTGTATGTTTTTTCTACTATTTTATGTGGTAATAACAATAAGACGAATTGGCTGAACTGTAAGAAATTTTTTTTACTCTGCAAGCAATTAAAATATATTAATTTAATTATTTAGGTTTTTTCCTAATATTTTATGTGGAATAATAATAGGATGAATTTGCTGAACTTTAAGAAACTTACATTTAGCTATGCATTAAAATTTATTAACTTGATTTTTTTTTCATTCTGCAAGCAATTAAAATATATTTATTTAGGTGTTTCCTAATATTTTATGTGGCAATAACAATAGGACAAATTGGCTGAACTTTAAGAAATTTAAATTTAGCTATGCATTATAAATTCATAACTTACATATTTTTTTTTTATTCAGCAAGCAATTAAAATAATAATTTAATTATATAGGTTTTTTCCTAATATTTTATGTGGCAGTAACAATAGGAGGAATTGCCTGAACTGTAAGAAATTCACATTTAGTGTGCGTTAAAAATTCATAACTTGCATATTTTTTTTGCTCAGCAAGCAATTAAAAAATATTAATTTAATTATTCATGTTTTTTCCTAATATATTATGTGGCAATAATAATACCTTTAAGTCCAAGGATCTACAGTAATTTGGAAGAAGTTTTGAGTAATATCTAGATAGGCTATATTATGCATCAAGATATTTGAAGGGTTCATGGACAGGGATTTTAGGAATTTACATCTGCATTTATCTTGGAGCAACTTATATCAGTGCCAGGCACTTGAGGGTGTTTTATTCAATCAACCATCCTTCAGATTTCATCTGACAAGTGCCATTTGTATGAATAACATATGTATCATTCTCTGTGTAGAATACTTGCTAATGCCTATCATTCTCTATGCCTTATAATAGCGTTCAGTATTCAGATATATTGCAGTTATCGCCGTGGACAACCACTCCTGCTGTAAGTACAGTGATTACTATTCATTTTATGTAGACATGAGTAGGTAATATTATTATTTTACTTATAATAAAAACAATTATGTTATCTTTAGAAAATTTTATCTGATTTAGCAATGATGCCAACATAAGAAAATGATGGAATTGAGATGATGTTAAGCCTTGGTATGGAGGTTAAAGTGTTCAATTTTTATTCCAAAAGTCTTTAGTTCAATCCTATTAAACTCTCTCTCTCCCCTCCCCCAGTTATAACCTGTTACTGTAGTAATGGTAATAATGATAATATTACTGTAGTGATGGTAATAATGATAATATTACTGTAGTAATAATAATAATGATGATTACAATAATTTTAATTGTGGCTACTGCCTCTCTGGTGTAACGATCTGTTCACACCACATTCACAATACCATCTCTGTCTGTATGCTTTACTCAGTGTTGAGGTCCACTGCAGTACCCATACAGAAACAGATACCAACATATTTTTACAAATAGAAATAGAAATTGAAATGGGGACTAGGTCTCCACTGTGCAGTGAACATACAGTGGCTCACTGGTTTAGCAACCTATGATGCTTCCTGTAAAATACAATAGAATCCCTATTTAGGGTACTCCTTTGGGACTAAAACAGTGTCGTCTTTAGGGTATCTTCTGATTAAAAAATAGACTTTATTTTTCTTTGTTTGTAGCCAAACAAAAGTTTCACTTTAATTAAGGATGTCTCCTTAATACTAATGCCTCCTAATTAGGTGAGTTTCCCCTTAAAAGCTGGGTGTCCAAAAGCAGGTGATAGTATATTCAATCCAACAAATTTTCATGTTATTTTATAACATAGGTGAGTGAGTGTTCAAGCTCTGACTTATTAGAGGATGACACGAGCCGACTGTCTGAATCCAGTAGCGCTACGGACAGCATGGAGACAATAGCAGATGACTGTATATCCGACATAGATACATCATCCACTCTCAGCGCTCCTGATGAGTATCACTCTGCAATTGAAACAAGTAGATATACTTTTTGCTTAAGCCCTGACCCCGGTATTCTTAAAATGACTTTCATCTTAGTTCGAGCTAAAACTTCAAAATTACATCATTTTGTATTCTTAAAACAAACTTCGACTAGCACTACGACTAAGTCATGCGAACCTTTCTCTTGGTGTTGATTGATAAAACATTGTTGGGTTTTGGATGGCAGATAACCTTGGATTTAAAAGAGAAAAAAAGAATTTCCTTTCTTTTATCTGCTCTGCTGCTGTCGCTGCTATTTCGTTTGCTGTCACTGTTTGCTGTGCTTTGCTGCAGAAATTATTTACGGTTATTCTCAGGGAGTTTGTTTTTAGTACCTAGACTTGGGTATAGAATGGCCCTCTTGGGTTTTCTAATGGCTCCTTGAGAGTAACAGTACATTGCTTCTGTGCGTGCTATGCTGTAAATAATTTCAGAATTTTAGTTTTTTCAATTCTTTTATAACTTTTTGATTGACTGTTTTTGCTTTTTTTAAAATTTTTATAGAACATAGATATATATTTCATGTATTTCATCTTAGATCAGCAGAGAAACTTTATACAGCAATTTAGTTTGCTCTTTATCCCGTCTCTGATTTTAGGTCTGTTGTAACTTGAATTTATTTGTATTGTTTGTTTGACAAAATAAATGAAACGAAATGAAAATATATAGTCCTTTTTCACAATCTCAAATTTTCTGTGACAAATATCTGATAGTCTGAATCAATGGTATGACGTCATACTTCTGTTTGCTTGACTTGTGTTCGCAGTGTTTGACGAACTTTCTTTGTGTAATTTGGCCTCATTTAGTTATCAGTTGCATTTTTTGTCTGCTTTTATTACCTTTATTAAAAAACAAAAATCCTAAGACAAGATACTTGCAGCAATTAGGCTATATTTCTGCCAAAAAAAAAAATGCAATTTATAGTTTGGACCGTTTGAAAATTTCCGTAGGGGTGTAGGGCTAAGCCAATACCGCCAACACAAAAGCGTGGACTAGGGGAAGAGCTATCTCAACATTTTTGTTCACTTTACATTGTACTATGTGTATTGCTAAATATATGTTCAAATACAAGTTTTAACAAAAGAATGTTTACTGTGCAAATTAAACCCATAATAAAAATGAAACAAACCCAATGTTTTTAATTGGTCAATCCTAACTACCTGTACAGCAGGGTTGATTTGACGACAGTTCGCTGCTTTCTTGAAAGCTGAACTAGCAAATGATAAAAAGTGGCAAAAACGTTTCCATATGGTGTGTACAGAGCTACATTCTACTTTTCAAATTTGCCATTGAGTGCCGAAGTGTCTGTTTAAGACCGTAGGTGTTGTATCTGAATTAACTAGACATTGGTTAAATGTGATCTTCACAATATATCATATGCCTACTCAGCTAGTCCGAATCCATTACACACGCTACTGTTTATTCTTACCTTTTTAGTCTGACAGTCAAGAACAACATTACTGTACATTGTGACACTTGGAACTGATCTTGTAAACATTATTTTTTTTAAAGAGGAAATTATACTGAAAATTATTCAAATGACATTTTCAAATTGGACACCACAGATAAAAATACTTTGCCTATTAAGCTATAACAGCACATGGATTTTTTTGGATGAAATATTGCACAACTTGCGCACAGGAAATATGCAATATTAGGGATATTCACCAGTTGTAGGATTTAACGTCGGTCAAATCTATTAATACTTAATGTTATATTCTCCGCAGCTGAAGATACAACACTATGCCCTACCAATTCAACCATGACAACAGCAACAACAGCATTTGCAGAAGAAGAAGAAACATTTCCCGATTTGGAAATTCTTAGGCGTGATTTACCAGGTAAGAAATAATTTTTATATTTTTAAAATCTGGTGTGAAGATTATGTACTAAGATTTAATTTAAATGTGCAGTATATTTTTTGTGGATGCTTAAATTGATTTGTTACTTGTATTGTAGAGAAGCCACTGTAAATTGATATGGATTAGATGACATATGGAATGACTTTTAAGCTACTGTATCAGCAATACTAAAGATTTTTTTTTTATTATTGATCTTTTAACACCCTATGATTACGAGTGATGAAAAACACATGTTGATTGTAACTGTAATGTCTAAAATTTCCCATTTCCCTCATTTACAAATGTACATAGTATTTTCAATCAACACTCTTCATACACACAACTATAACCAGCTACAAACCCATACAAACCTACTGAATGGACTAATACACACACATCAGACAGTATTTTGTCCTGGTATGATTTTCGTTAGTATTATGCCACAGTGTCTAAGGATTATTTTTAAATGCCTGTAACCATAATTATTATCACTAGCAGTATTTTAAAATTAAAAAAAATACTTAATTATTCAAGGAGGAAATGCATTTGATCTTGGCATAAGTATAAACTTATTAATCATCCAAGGAGGAAATGCATTTGATCTTGGCATAAGTATAAACTTATTATTATTATATTTATGGTACTGGTACTGGTATGAGCATTGATATTGCCCCATTTTCTTGCGGTTATTAAGCGCATGCCAAATCTCAGTTCAGGTAAAAACTCAAAGAAGCATGTAGTTCAGTACAGCATTAAACAGAAATCATGGGTGTCACGACTGTGTTCTCGAAACAAAAGCAAAACACAACACGTACTACAGACACAACAATTAGAAAAAATTATTTGGAAGTACTATCAAACAAGTGAGACGTGAGTGCAAGTTTGAAAGTTATTGTTATTGTTATTATTTTTATTAGTATTATTATTGAATTTATCTAGTAATGGTTTCATTAAACACTCTGATTGCTGTTGGAATAAAAGACTTACTGTAACGTTTAGTATTTAGCTTTCTCATAAAGAGTAATCTTGAATTAAGGTACCAGCTCGAAAACTGCAAGACAAAGAATGAGTTTTTTATAAGGGATATTGCAAACTTTAGTAACAATAAAATCTTGACGTATAACATCAAGGTGTTGACCTATAATTATTAATTATTATTAATTATTATTATTATATTAACTATAATCTTCCTTCCTTGTGTATTGATTCTGTAAAATAGTTTTTTGTCAATCTCCCTGAAAGAATTATTAGGAAACACACCAAGCAAAAGTCAGAATGCATTGCACAATAGATTTATAGAACAATGAAATAATATGATAATCAATTTCTAAAGCAAAAAGTCTCCTTAGGGTAAACATTCTTTTTCTTTGTTAACTGTATAATTATGTATATTCCCCTTGTTTGTGAAATTTCAACTGGTTGTCGATACATATATTCTGTATATTAAATGGTTGATGGAGTATTGCAAGACACTTTGACTTAATTGAGACATTAATATTTATTTAATATTCATACAGTTTTTTTGGTGGTACAATACCTGCTACGTTCATCAGCATCAACCATTTAATAACTGATGAATAAGTTGAACTACATCAATTTTATCGTTTACATAGATAATACTATGTATTTTGAGATATTATGTAAATTTCAAATGTACACAATTCAGCTTTTAATTCTCTCATTTGCAGGCTTTTTACTAAAAAAATCGCTTAATCAATTACCAGTCAATTTAAGGTCTATACAACAAATATAGAACATTAATTATGTGTCTGTTGTCAGTTGGCAAGATTGTAATTCCATTCTTAAAGAAATTAATGGTGCTGATGACTGTCTGCAACGTCATTAAATTGTCCCAGTGGAGTTAAGTATGTGTTTCATACGTGTTTGATCCAATGACCAGCGTAATAATGTGAAGCACTAGACTTGGCTATGTAAGTCAGTGTTCTCCCAATTGAAAAATTTTTACTGCTAAATTTGTCCACAAAAATTCAGCTATTTCTATGCAGAGACCTGCATAGGAATAGATCCTGTATCAGTAGTTTAGATTGTCCCTAAAATTATTATGAGTTAACAAGTTATTTATCAAAACAATTTAATAGTGTGGTTAGGAAATATCAAGTGACGTGTCTACATACTTCTGTCAAAATGAAAGACTGACTCCAGCTTTAGTGGTTAGGAATGGATGCTTGCCTTATGTCCTGGGTTCAAATCCTGTGACAGCAGCATTTTCACAATTAATAACAACTCCACTCACTAGCCTCATAAAGAGACGTCACTAATTAAGTCATGGCATAGGTTTTGTGTATGTTTTCCTTTGTTTTGTTTCAAAATAAAGTGATTTTATATATTATTTTACTTATTTAAGGGCTTCTGAATATCAACTGACCTAGGATATGCTGGAAGGGTTAACCATATATAAATATGGTTTTAAAAAATGATATTTATTAATTTCTGAAGTACAATCTTTGAATAATAATGAGAATATGCTTGCCAAGAAACACATTTAGACTTGGTTTAAGGAAATGGTTTATATCCTTACCACCAACTACCAAATTCTATTTTTATTTTCAAACATCTGCAGCATCTGAGGAGATAGCAAGACCAGTAGAACCAGTTCAGTTCAGTTTTCTCAATAAGCTGAAACCAAAGTCATTTGGGAGAAGATCTAAAGGACTACCATTTATCAAAGGTAAACTTACATTATGAAAGTATAAATTAACTGCTTTTAATACTAGGATTTTTATGGTCTTTGTTTTTCATCCAGGGGCACGGAAAAGTTGTCTTTACATAGAGGTGTCTTTAGTTAGAGACCTGTATTATAATTTTTTTTAATTTCTTTCAGAATAGTATATTAATACTTTAAGATAAATTAACCCTACTAGTACAATTGTGTTGTTAACTGGAATGCTTTTAGATATAGAATGATAGAAAAAAAAACATTGACAAGTTAATTTGGGGATTTTTTATTTTTTTAATACTTAATGCAGTCATAGCTTCAACTATTTACAGTACTGTACATCCAAATTGTATGTGCGCAGTGGCATAATGCCTGTCAGCTCTCGGAGCCCCCAGTTACCAAAGGGGACCCCCTTACTAATGAACAGAATGAAGAAGGGGCTATTAGAATTCACATAAATTTAATACAAATCATGTTCAGATATATAACAAGCTTCACCGCTACAGTATTGTTGATATATTTTACTGAGAATGGACCCCTGCGGCCACTTTCTAACATTCCTAAATCGATTAATAAAATTCATTGGGCCCCAACACTTCTTTTCCCCCTGGCCCTGTTGCTCATCGTTACGCCACTCTCAATACCCGATATCTTGCCCTTCTAATTTTTAAAACTTGTGGTCCATTTTTGGACCACACGGTCCATGGATTGAGAAGCTCAGAGCATTAGTGGATAAGTAATTTTTTTTCATTTTTTCCTTTTGTCTTCAGTATCCAAAGTCACTCCAAAGAAGAGGCCTTCTGTAGGAAAATTTACTGGTTCCAATCGAGCAAACTCAACTCTTCAGAAGGAGATGGGACTTGGTATAAATGACTATGAGTCAGCTGGGGATTTATCTAATATTCCAGGTACTCCACTCATTTAATTGTTAACTAGTTTAAAATATTATTTAAAATGCTATATGATATCTAGTATATGATTTCATTGAATTTTAATGGTGATTCACTATTTGCAATAGAAATACAGGTTTTCCTCCAATTGTGGCAAAGACAAGCCAAACCAGTCACTCGTCGCAAATTGTGTTTCAGAGATATGGCCAAAACATGCTGGAATGTCAACATTTTTTAAATCTATTTTATTGCAATAAACTACTATCTTTATACATCTACACATTGTGGTATGCTTTTATTTTCCCCATTTTTTAATGTTAAAACAACATTTTTTAACGATTTAGTGATGGTTTCTGCATGAGAAATGCCTGAAGTCATAAACTTTGAAGGCTGATTTCTCCAATATTGTTCTTTAAACAGCTGTATGTCTAAACTCCTTTAACTTCATAACAAAATATCAGATTTAAATGATTTTTTTTACAATTTTTTAGCTCTCATTTTACTGTTTAACCCTGTACTAATATTACAAAAAATTGTTTTTTGCGACGAGTGACTGATTTGGCTTGTCTTTGCCACAATTAAAAACTACTTTTCTGTGGTTCCAGATGAACAACTGTCTTTTATCATAATTATTCCATACAAAAAGACCAATGCTGTTGTCACCATGGAAACCCTGGTCACAAAAGTGGTCTTTAATTGGAGGGAGACCTTTTTGTAAACTGTTTTCTTCATTATTTTCATTCTTTTGTTTCTGTTATTTTTTTTAGATCTATAATAATTCAGAAGATTGCATGTTTTATCTTCTAATTAAATTGTATGAGTCCTAATAACTATAAATTTTATGCTAATACATATATTGAGAGAGCAGCTTAGCTCAGTCGGCTAATCTGGTGGTATCCACTGTGTGTCTAGGTCCCCGGGTCAATTCCCATCGCTGCCTCTTCTTGTGTTTCTGCTGGAGGGCTGAAATACAAGTTACAGTAGCAGACTGTCTTTTGGATGGATAAGACGTTAAAGTCGTTTTTCCCGTGTGCATTTATGGCCCATGTGCATGTTAAAGAACGCAGTGCACCTTTGGAAAAGAGTAGGGGACTTGTCTCCCGGTGTACTCCCTAGTCACCACCAGAAGGACCCACTGGAAATAAGTCTTTTTCTAGACTTTCCTGGGCTATCCTTGGTGTTTACACCGAATAATAAATCCAAATCCAATATAGAAAAGTGATTCAAATTTTGAATTTTTTTAGTTTGACACAGATTATTATTTATTTTTTTTTCTGCATATTATACTTTATCCACACTATCAAATTTCATGTGACAAATATTTGGGTGTAATGTGACATCTTCATGCTCATATATGGGTACTGTACATCAGTCAAAATATTCTCACATAAAATGTTATAGTGTGGACAGGCCTTTAGTTTATTTTTTAAATTTCTTCAATAGTTGATAAGAATTTAGAAGGACACTGGAACGTATGCGCAGATAGAAATCTCAACTCAACACCAATAGAAAATTCTGGAATAAGCCTAGCCACAAATCCACCTGATGTTTCTAGTATACCAGGTATGCAATTCTGATAATGATTTTCACACTGATGATCAAATTTGAATGTTGTATGTTTTCTAAAATTGTACCGTGAAAAAAATATTAACAATTTCCTCTGATAGAAAATTCTGGAATAACCTAGCCACAAATCCATCTGATATTTCTATTATACCAGTATTTAATTTCTATTACTCACATGATTTTCAAATTGATGATCAAATTTGAATGTTGTATGTTTTCTAAAATTGTACCTTGAAAAAAAATTGACAATTTCCTCTGATAAAAATTCTGGAATATAACCGTCAAATCCATCTGATATTTCTAGTATACTGTACCAAGTATTCAATTCCCATTACTCATATGATTTTCAAATTGAAGATCAAATTTGAATGTTGTATGTTTCCTAAAATTGCACCTTGAAAAAAAATAGTAACAAGTTCCTCTGATAGAAAATGTTGTATGTTTTCTAAAATTGCACCTTGAAAGAAAATTAACGATTTCCTTTGACACATTGTCAATGTTAATTGATGTAAAATGTCTCATCACCAGTCAGTACGATAGTGGATACCTTTCATGCCTGAAAAAAAAAATCCATTAGATGAGATTTCATTTGGCAGTTTGTTTAGTTAATTACACTTTGTGTATTGCATGCTTTCCATACTGATTGATTTCCTTGCATTGGCCACTGTATATTTACGATTGGACGCCAAAGCTCTGTTGATGTTTGCGTTATTGAGTTGATGCCTCCATATAAAGTTAATACATTATACTTTGCTGTCAAATTATATGAATCTCATAAACCCCTATATAGAATTAAGCTACTTTAGATTACCAAGTACAGTATACCTGTCCATTCTTTGCTTAATTGATCTGCAGTCTCATAGTCTAGACATATTTATTTTATTCAACTTTCACTGGTAAATATATAAATATACAATAACAAAAAAAAAATAAGAAAAACCAATATTATATAATATGACAAGGACATTTGCTCAACATTATTATGTACTGCACTGTATAAAGCAACTATGACCATTTTTCCACAATTGGTCCCTAGTCACAATTCTGTGTGACCAGGGATTTCTTTTCACACAACTAAACCAACTTCACTCTCTAAGTTGAGGGGTTCCAACTATAGGAGAATTCACTTTTGAGAGATCTGGTTAATTGAGCTTTCCATTAAACTTATCTAATTTTATTTGCTACGAGTGGTGATACTCATTGCCTGCTGACTTCAGGGAAACAATTTATAATATGGTAAAAATATTTAAACGTCATCAATTTGCAGCAGGTTAGTTTCCGAGAGTTTTGTTTTGTTTTTGGAGAAAGATCAAGAGTTCATCACCATATTGGGAGACCCTTGTAAAAAATGGCGTATCTCAGTATGGAGTCTTGATATGATGGTGATGGGGCTGATGGGGATGTGAAGTTGGTGGGGCTTAATAATTAAGTGAGGGGTGCTGGTTTGCGAAATAAGGTGATTTTTAACTATTTAAGAGTGATATTTTTGCTTTGGACAATTTCAATGGGGGAGGGCGAATGGGGGAAGGGGAGAGGCGTTCTCCCGCACCACTGCTTGTAAACCTTATAATTAGGCTATTAAACAATAAAAACAAATAATTACGTCTTGTAATTGATAGTTAAGTAAGGGGCGCTGGTTTGCGAAATAAGGTGATTTTTAACTATTTAAGAGTGATATTTTTGCTTTGGACAATTTCAATGGGGGAGGGCGAATGGGGGAAGGGGAGAGGGGGAAGGGGAGAGGCGTTCTCCCGCACCACTGCTTGTAAAACTTATAATTAGGCTATTAAACAATAAAAACAAATAATTACGTCTTGTAATTGATAAGTGTAGTTGAATGTGAAAGAAATAAAGTGAAAATTTAACACTTGGGCATTGAAATTGTAGATCGTGAAAATGCTTAGTCCAGTCTGTTAATGCCAGCAATTCTTTATAATATTTGTAGGTATTATCAAACATATTGACATGGCTCAAGAAGTAACATCATCTATGGACATGTCATCGATTTGTGTGGCCCAAAGCGAAGCATTGCATACAGGACAAGCTAAGAGACAACCTCGATCTGTGTACAGTTTCACAAGCAATGAAGACACCTTAGAATGTATGTTGTAAAATTAGTTTTGAAGTATTGAAGTCTCCAACTATAACAATTTTCATAGCTCATTCTAATAGTAGACTCTAAATATATTTTCGATTATATACCACATACATAGATTCTAGGCATCTGATTGGTTAAGAGGCGGGCAATAGAAAGTACTAACACCCTAAATGATGGTATTTATGACACGCACAAACAGTAAAGGAGACACGACCTCTATGACGCTGAGAGAAATCGGCCATTTGATCACTTACCCTACGAAGTAAGCCTAATTACTGTACTACTTGGTGTGTACTATTTTCATTACTTTTTTGTGTCTCGTAGTAATTGATCTGCAGTCTCATAGTCTAGACATATTTATTTTATTCAACTTTCACTGGTAAATATATAAATATACAATAACAAAAAAAAAAAAAGAAAAACCAATATTATATAATATGACTAGGACATTTGCTCAACATTATTATGTACTACACTGTATAAAGCAACTATGACCTTTTTTCCATAATTGGTCCCTGGTCACAATTCTGTGTGACCAGGGTCTCGTAGAATCTATGTATGAGGTATATAAAACACATTTTGAATGCTCTAGATTCTTGAAATGGTAAAATCTATAGCCCCTCGGTGATATGGAGACTGTAGAAGACAGGCTATGGTCTCCACATCACCTCGAGACAAATTTCACGGTTCCCCTCATGAGCAGTCAATATTTGTATACTATCATGGTTTTAGCATTAGATTTTCATCCACATTTAATCTCATTAGATATATTAATGTATTTCTAATTATGATTCATCAAGGTTTTACAAAGTTAAGTTATACATTGTAATTATAAGTGATTGATACCCCAGCTTGCATCGTAGAAGATGTGTATAAGAGACAGGTTTACGAGAGTTTTNGGTAAAACCATTTCATGGTATTTAAATAAATAAATACAAAAAAAAGTAACCCTTTTACCTAGAAGTGGTTTTCGGTCCTTTTTTTATAGGGTGAATTAAAAAAAAGAATTTTTTTAATGAAACACGTGTAATAATTTTTTTTTCTTGTTTAGCTACTAACTCTCTCCAGATACATGGTCAGAGACTTTTGACACAAGCAAAAGCAGACAATGGTTCAGCCATCAATAAACAGAGTGTGCAGTTTGCAACTGTGAGTGCTAGTTATTTATATTAATATGAAAACCATGTGTTGAAAGACTACTGTATGTAGAAGTGTAGGAAAAAGTACATGATGCTGTTATAAATGTTTTTGCAATGTTCAGTACAATCAGATTTATAGATTAGTCTTGAAAATAATATTACACCCTTGCTTTGCACGTCGCTTGTGTCCATGAGCAAGGCGCATTATCTGCTCTGTTTTTCTCCATCTAAGAGTATGAGTACCTGGGTTGCCTGCTACAGCGTCAATATGGCAGCAATATGTGGACCCAATGACCAGGATAAAAACAGTGCGCTTCGTAATGAAATAACAAATATGTTAATCATGAATGACCACCTGACAGGATTTAGCTTTCTGGCGTTAGATACCCAAAGCTAGCCTGATATAAGCTCTCTGTCAAGGTCATAAACTGACAAATTCAGACACTAAATTTTGTGCACCGTATATGTACAGTAATGACAGCCTATTTATCCGCACACTAACATTACTTTGAATTAGATTACTATCCAGTATTGGAGGTGCTTAATGTAAGAATTGTTTCTTCTGAAAACTAAAATTTGTTTACATTTGGTTGAGCTAGCTTTTAATTTATTTTTTTGGGACAAGATACTAGTATCTTTGTCATAGACCATCAAGGGAATGATGGGTTCTTACAGCAGATTTTAGGTTGTCTACATATTTCCAATTGGGGTGCGTTGATTCCCTTACATCATTAATAAGTTATAAAAATAATTGTACCTAGTTTGGTAGCTTGTGATACACAGCATGTGAGATTCAACTGACATTACACAATTGTAACATAAACATTGTGTTTGATATTGTTTGAAATGAAACTTATCTCACATCTGGCACCTAAGGTATTAATTTGGAAATGACAATTATTGTATGATTAAACTTCAATGCTTTTAAAAAATCTGTAAACCTAAGGTTACCTATACTGACTTGAGAGTATTGCTGGCCTTGTAGAAAATATTCAGAAGACCAATTAGGTAATGAGTTATGATCATAGTATATTGATTATGATCTAGATGCAATTCTGTCAGCTATATCAGACATTTTTGTTGGTCAAACTAACCATTTAAAATGTGGTCAAATGAGGCATGTTGTGGCAAACTATTAAGTTGATAGATATTAAAATTTTACCATCTATGTTTCTTTTGATGTCAGAAACCAAGATATGTGGCTGCTTAGTTAATAATCATTGACATGTTTTAAAAGTCTCCTCACTATCAAGTTATGTTTTTTGTCAAAAATAGGAGATGTTAAACCCATACATGAAAGTATAATACATACTCCAGATATTGAAATGCATGCCATCATGTTGGGATTCAATATTTCAACATTATTCATGTCATGATTCCTGATGACATAAATAACGTTGAAATATTGAATCCCAACACGATGGCATGCATTTCAATACTTGGAGTATGTATTATACTTTAGTATCTGAGATTAATCAGTGGACCTTTCAGTTTGTGTAACCCATGCAGTTCAGAATATGTGTGATATGATATAATGCCCATACCAGGCCCGTAGCCAGAGGGGGGGGGGCCGGAGGGATTGGATGACCCCCCCCCCTCGGCTGGGGTCACCCTTTTCCAGGCCAAATATTTTTCTCATACAGCTGCTAGACCTATAGCCTATGACCTGTGGATCTATCTCAGGCCAAAATGATCTGAATGATGGCTGAAGCAGGTTGATAGTCATGTACTGCATTTACACACAATGTATCAAGCAGCACATACCATAGAGCATGTGCCTACGGTACACATTGGGTCACGGAGGCACCCGTATACAAAGGTCACCTTTGGCTAAAAAAAGACCCACCCCCTTGGAAGTCTGGCTACGGGCCTGCATACATAGGTAAGTCACAAGTACTGTATTTGGCTACAAACCTAAAAATACCGTCCTCCTTCTAGATAAATTTTTAATAATTTGTTACCTTTCCTTTTATTGCAGCCAAAATCTGTTATTAGTAGCAGTAATAGTTCAAAACAAGTATCATTTTCACTGAGTGCTAATAAGAAAAAGGAGTATCAACCGGAGCTAAGCATTCGATCAGCCCAACTACACCTCCCAACGATTTCACCAAATAGCATTCTAAAGAAGGTAACATCACTCAAATTTTAATTCATTCATAATGCTTTACGTTAATACTTCATAGGATTATTTTTTTTTTTTTTGTATTTGGGGACTATAATTAATAGCAAGGCTTTTCTTTAACCTTGTTTTGTGAAACTGCTAACCACTGATAAATATTATTTTCTAATAAAAAATATATTAAGGTCATGTTATAAATGGTGATTGCAGAATTCACAGTTTAAATTCAAACAAATAATTAAAATATAGTAATAAATAGTTAATTTGTAAAATAAATAAACAAATATTATGACTATTTTAAAGTACAGTATTGTATTAAATCCCGAAGAAAAATATAAGTCTAGCCACATTTACTAAGCTGGAAATTCATGAAAATGTGGGATTAGAGGACTGAAAGATTGAGTACAAAATATAAATTGCACCAAATACTTGACAAGACTAATATGCGTTGCTTCCACTCCACGTTTTAACAGTCATTCGAAGCTTGGGATTTAAATGTAGACCGACGTGGATAATATAGACTCTGCTTACTTACCAAAAGGCCAATTGGAACAGGAAGTGAGAATCAATCATATATAAAGAGACTATAGTCTACTCAATTTAATTCCAATGTAGAACGTTAAAAATGTTAATTACGACATTAAATTTTATTTTTATTTTGCATATTAGAGGATTTAAGAATTTAATTCTTTTAATTGCAGTTGTGTGATTAAGAGGAATTTATTTCAAAGATTTACCTGATATTTTTTATTTGTTTTCATGAAATATAAATTTTAATTATTTTTGTCTTTGTATGTCTGATTTTCATAGACAGAAAGCTTCCTTTATTTTGAATACTCACTTAATTTGTTGACACATATTTTTTTCACTTCTTGAAACTCAAAATCTTTGAAAAAAATTGAAATATTATAATGTTCAGGTACACTTTATCCATTCACTCCAATTGACTTGCAAGCAGCCACTTGCTGAAACTGTAGTCTTACACATTAGAAAACTGCAATAGGCCTACAGTATACTGTGTAAAGCATAAAAGAACAATAAGGAAAAAGAAAAACAACCACCACCTACAAATTATTATTTAAAATTTTGGCAATAGGTGACCTTTTAAATCGCTCTGTAAAATATTAAAATATCAGATTAAAAAAAAAAATTGCAAATCATGATAAAATGTGGAACTATGTGTTGCAGTTAGTGTAAGAGTAACTAGGGTAGTATTGTGCATACAGACATTGGCAGTGTGGGATCGTACAAATAGAATATGGTTTGAGGTCAATCATCCAACACAGAGGGAAATAGAAGTCACTGCTTTACAAAAATAATACTGTGTTTTGTTTGTTTTGTACTTCCGGCCACTAAATGCTATTGAAAATAAATACATTTATAGCAGTTTTCATCAAGGTATTGTTAAATAATGAGGAAATATTTACCATTTTTATAGCTAGGGAATGGTGTCAGCTTGACAGATAGAGCGGTTGAGAAAGAATGCATCAACAAACGAACAAGCACACCCATCAGAAGAAAACGACGAGGTGGACGGATAGACATGATGGAGTATTCAGTGAGTTAAAACCATAGAGATATAATAAGAATACTAGAGCGCTAACAGCAATGTATTCGATGTTCGAAATACGCAGAGCTGTGTGTGTGTACCATCCAAGATGGCTGCCATAGATTTAGCCAATCAAATTTCGCCTGAGCACTATCATTTTCAATGGCACCCTCAATTTACACAGAAAGTTCAGTACAGCTAGTTACCCGTATTTTGAAACTCGAGCGTTGCGGTGTATGGGTTTAATGTACACGATTTTAATTCTTTTAAATATTTGAATAAGATGCTCTACTTGGCCTCTTTTTGGCTGCAATAGTTTAATAATTTGTCATTATCAATACTAATTATCATTAATGAAATAATATTCAGTCAAAGGGCTTATTTATGGTAATAATATGTATACTAAGCCTGAAGGCGGCGCTTTCCTACGGCAGCCATCTTGGATGGTACCATACACAACTCTGCATTGCTCCGCCATCTTGTCAGCACTCTAGTTGTTTAATAGCTCTATGGTTAAAACCATGTACAGGCTATCAAATTTTATTGGACAAAAACATGCGACATGCCTAAACATATATAGGCACATCATGACTATATTTGGGCATACAACAGTTTTATGTCAAAATTTGATGGTCTGGACACAGCTTTACATACAAAGAGTTAAGCTTTAAAATACAATACAAGATTTACTTTTCCGATGGTGTTTGCGTCAGAAGATTTAATAGATATGATATTTTGCCCTACCTGGTATGTTATCGTACTGAATACGCAGTGAGTTGAAAAATACAAGTAATTCGGGTGAGAAGAAAACCCACTACTTTCAGATAAAATCATTCCTATTAAATCTCCTGATGCAAACGCCATTAGAATAGCAATGCATTGCAGTACCCCCTGCTACTTGTGGATAAGATTCAACACTAGCCATTAAGTGCAAGCTCAGTAGTCTAGTGGTTAAGATACCAGGCTAGTTATCTGAAGAGTGTGGGTTCAGTTCCCAGTCGAATCACTTGTGAGATTTTTTTTTCGCAAGTATTTGGAACTTACTGAGCATTCAGTATGATAACACATTTGGTAGGACAAACATCCCTATTAAAGATTTGCTTTTATTAATGATATTCCAAACAAAGATTTAGGTGAAACTTTTTTTATTCCTTGTTTCGCATACTTATTTTTTTAAAGGTCATCAGAGAAGGGCGGAATAAAATAAAAGTAAAATTTTTTTTCTTATTTAGCAAATAGTTTTGCCAAAAACATCTAGATGGAGGAGAAAATAAAAATAAAATTTTATTGGTGAATGTAAAATAGGATGGTTAAATGCTTCAAATTTATATAATTAGGAAGAAATATACATATCTTATCTTTGGAGATTTCAAGGCAGCGGAGGACATAATAAAAATAAAGAACAAATTTTATTTTTTTCTGAAATTTCCACTTTGCCGTGGCGGCGGGTGCGCTAATTGGCCAAAAGAAAAATTTTATTTTTATTTTAACTCATCAATATTTGCAGTCGGCGGGTTCGCTAAACAAGGTATGAAAAAAGTCTCGCCTTATGGTTTGCTCTAGTTTATAAACAAATAATGAACACATGAATAATTGAGCAAAGTATAGGATGCAAATTTTTGTTGCCAAAAATAATAATAGCAGCTATGATGTCCTGATGCACTCAAGATAGAGGGCAGCTAACAATATAATTTAAACACATCACCAAAGACACTAAACATGTGGCAAAGACAAGCCAAACCAGTCACTCGTCACAAATACTGTTTCAGAATATAATGGCCAAAACATGCTGGAATGTCAACATTTTTGAAATCTTTTATTACACTAAACTACTAACCTTTGTCTATATATCACTATGCTGTTATTTTCCCCGTTTTCAGTGTTAAAACAACGGTTTAATAACGATTTGATGATGGTTTCTGCCTGAGAAATGCCCAAAACCATGAACTTTGAAGGCTGATTTCTCAAATACTGTATTGTTATTTCAACAGCTGTATGTTTAAACTCCTGAAATTTCATAACAAAATGTCGGATTAAGTGATTCTTTTACCATTTTGTAGCTCTCATTTTACTGTAAATACTGAATACTAAAATTTGATCTTTGCGATGAGTGACTGGATTGGCTTGTCTTTGCCACATATGCTATGCTTGCCTGGGCAAATGCTTAATTTTTTTTTTTAGTTTGATGTCTCTGCTGTTGGATTACCAGCCTGCGATGAGAGTGAGCTTATTATACAAGACAGTAACATTAATCTAACGACGACAGATGTACAAGAAGAAATAGTAACACCTAATAAATCGAACAGCATCAAACAGGTGAGTTGGCATGGTTGATGGAGTAGTATACTTCATTTCTGTTTCAATGTTTGCATGACCAGTAAACAATAGTGTATCTTTGCAGTAGAACACATGGATGGTTTAATGAAAAGAACTAAAAATTGTTGTGAGTATATCAAATTTTGAATTTATCAGTCTTTCAGTCATTCTAACATTTATTGAATTTAAAAAAAATTTACAATCATAAATCTTTTTTTTTAAAGTAATAGAAGACCCAAGAAGCAAATAATAATGCAAACACAATTTCTTTCCTTATATGTATTTTCTACATATTATTAGTAGATTCTATCTATAAAATTGACTAAATAAGCCTTTGAAACCTCTAAATTGTCATATTTTTCTGGGCCACTGGACCCAAGACCACTTTCAAAACATTTTGCCAAGATAAAGTGAACCGATCAAAAATATCAATGGACTTTAAGTGTAAGGTGAATGAAGTTGAATATGTTTCTCAACAAGGAAAAACAGTGAGGAGCTTTTTTTTGCATGATGGTATAATCTAAATAGCCTTACTTATAGTTTTTTGCACATTTGCAGTTCTAGTCTATATTCTATGACAAGGTTTGGGTTGAATCTTTGTCCTGCAGAGAATGCAAGACGGTCATGGATTAGTGATTCTGTCATAGAATTATCTCATTGCTTAATCATTTAGTAGGTCGTTGAATAGATTGGTGGCCTAAATGGTGGCCTAAAGTTATTAATTGCCTGAATTACATAAAAATGTATTTCTTGCTAAATATAATAATAAGAAATTATTTTTTGTTGTTTTTAATTTTCTTATTAAGTTTAATTTGCAGGCCCATAAGCCGTCATGTGGCAATTCAATAGACAAGGATTTACAAAATTTAATGATAAGGGGAGAAATGACCCCTTCAATGAGAATAAAGAGATCCTCCAGTACAGTGGCACCAAATCTACCAAAGAACAAGAAAAGCAGGAAGCTATTATGTTTGAATGATTTCGTTGAGGTAAGAAAATCTAGTTATGATGTGCCTGTATATATGGTCATGATGCGATGTCATCATGACCGTATTAGCATGTACATCTATCAAATTTGATAGTCTGGACAAGGCCTCATTTAATACCTTGTTTTGCGAACTTCCTGACCACCAATATTAATTTCAATAAAATTTCAAGGAAAAAATATCATATTGATAAACATGTTGTCGCCACCATGAAATCGATAACACATTTCTTCTTCACATATATAGCGTTTCTGATTTCTGAAATTTTTGCATAATTCACATTCTGTACAACCACAAAATAGGATACGGAATGAAGGCATTTAGTTCCCCCCTTTATTTGTTTTTACCTCGCACATTTTTATTTGTCAATAAAATTTTAATATTTTCTATTACGCCTACTAGCTTTGGGCAACACCTTTGCTAAAAATAATAACAATACAAAAAATTTATTTTATGTTTTGTGTCTTCTATCCATCTTTCAAATACGGTATATAGTTTGCTAAACAAGTTATAAAGAAAGTCTCTCCAAAGCTGATTAAAAAAAAAATATTTAGCCGTTATGAATGACGTGTGACTTGGTTGAACATGACCTATTTTGAGATCAGGCTAGAAAGTTGGCACAATGAATACTCACTGCATAATGCTGCATGATACAACCAGTATACTAATCCCCGCATTGATTTATATCACAGGTGGGCAAAGTGCGGCCCGACAGTGATTTTATTGCGGCCCGCCAAGAGAAAGCACCTTGTTTTTTTACAGCCTGACAGATTGTATGTAAAATGTAACATTAAGACTGAGAATAAAGTGGTGTAAAAGCAGTGCCTGGAGGATTTTGGAAGCACACTGGAAACATCAAAGTTTGGGTGCAGCCCTGTGTTAAATCAAAAATTCACTTTGGCCCTCTGACCAATTTTTATGCCCCCCCCCCCCC